AGGAGCATGAAACCAAGAAAGGGGAGAGCTCCTTTAATGGCGGCCTCTCACTGGCTGGATCCGCAGCCCGAGGGGATCTGTGGAGTGGGCGACAGGTGGAAAAAGAGGGGACAGGGCTCTATGTGAAGATAGCAGCAATCAAGTTCTCCAGTTACCCCCACTTGCCCCACTGAAGAAGCTGCAAGCTGTCCTTCTGCCTCACCTTGAAAGACTGAACGATTGCATTCCTGCATTACTGTGGTATACTTACTTAGGTCGAGACCTTGGGAAAACTGCTTCCCATCTTTATCTATGGAAGTTGGCATCTCAGGGAGAAACTGGGAATTTAAGAGCCATGGCTGGTGGGAGGATGGTCTAATCTGCCCTGTTACCTTCAGGATGAGGAATCATGGGAGGGAGGAGGCAGCCTCAGAGCCCAGATGGAGACATAAAGCAGACACACCCCCCTCCCGCAGGGTTACAAAACACCGCGCCTGCTGAAGGTCTGGATGACTTCCTACTGCCCTGGAGGGCAGTGTTAGGGCCGAGAAGGGAAGCTCTGCCCTAGCTGCTTCCACAAAACCCTGCTGCACCGCAGAGCAGCCCCAGGCATGTTCCTGACTGTTAGCCCTGTGTGGCTGACCTTTGCAGCTTTGGTGAGAAAGGCTGGTGGCTCACAGCTCTGCATTCTGTGGACCACCCAACTCCCCTCAGATGTTCAAGGAGCACTGAGTTGTTGCATTCTCACAAACCCCAAATTTAAATGTCTACATCTTTTAGTTCTGCTTTATCTCAATCTTTTGGTTTTATTGGCCTCAAGCAGCAACATTCAGAGAACCCCTCCCTCCTATGTACTCAGCCCCATCGGCACAGCATAGAACCCAACTGTCCCTTGTCCAAACTGCAAACCTGGATGCACTGAACGGTATTTCTCCCAAACAAAAGCACTCAGCCCGAGAATACTATCCTCGCAGAAGGGCCACCTCTGTGCATTGCAGATCAAAAGGTTCAAGGCTTCCCATGCTGTGGTTAAGGCTAGAATTCCCAGGCATCAGGCAAGCAAGCAGCAAGCAAACCACAACCAAAACCGAAAGTAAAGTCAGAGGTGGTGTCCTGGGTCACAACTCTGGTTCTAATTCCATGGAAGATGGTCACTGAATTTTGGTGTTGCAGGGGCTCGGGACAGTCTTAGAGCACTCAGGCTGCTCATAAACCCCTGCAACAACGCATGGGATTCCATCCAGGAAGCAGGATCTTCTTTTCCTTTAGCTAACCAGCCTTCCCGCTCAGTCTATCCTAACAATAAAGTGGCAGCCAGCCTCACCATCTTCCAGCCCGCGTATATCCACATGCCAGAGTCCTGCTAGTAATTATTTTCCCAATCTCCACACACGGGGTTCTGCTGCTTGTCACCCAAGGGGGGGGGGGTCTTCATTCTGCCATCTGGGTACATACAAACTAGTAAGTTTGGGTCTGGGGAAATTTTACATGCATCCCCTTGATCTACTGTGCACACCGTCCTCACTGACTGTGCTTCTGAAAACACTAAGGTCAGCACGAGATTAAGCCTTGCCATGGGACCTCTGAAAAAGGCATGAATTCCCGCCTATCCTGCATCGTGGTTTTTTAGTTGTTTCACCCATAAGTGTGGAAGTTTACTTCTCTGAGAAAAAAAAAAAACAACTTAGGTGTATGGGTGTTCTGCCTGCACACACAAATACACACACACACACACACACGGAGATATACACACACAGAAAGAGAGAGAGAGAGAGAGAGAGAGAGAGAGAGAGACAGACAGACAGACAGACAGACATACCAGTGCTCAGAATAAGAAAGAAAGATGGGGGAGGGAAAGAGAGAACCAAACAGTATATTATATTGAAGTAAACCCTAAAATGCCTAAAATGTAATGAATTTTGAGTACTCTCACGTCATAAAACGAATTATAGCCAAATCTTCCTAAGGTGCATATCTGAATTTTTATTTCTCCCTGTGCACCATCCAAACATGGCAGGATCTACAGGTAGAGATAATTTGGGGTTGGCAAATACTTTTACATGCTGTAGAATCATATTGCCACCTAAAATAATCTACTAAGTCATATATCTCTTGTTATCTTATTAAAACAAATGCCAGTTAAAATACATCTCTACTGAAGTATTCCTGAGGATGTGTGGACACCGAGCAACAGTGTGGCTAACCCAGGAATGAGGACAAACACTTCCAGGCTTCCGTGTCCGGCCCCAAGGCTGAGGACGAGCAGCTGCTTGCTCATCAGACCTCATCCTTCATAGCATCAGTAGCTTTGGGTTTATTGTTCTTTAGTGGCTGCGGTCACATTTCTTTGGGGATATCAGGCTACAAAAATATAAAGTGTCTTCCTGGCCTTCTCTGAACAGCATCCTAAGGGTTCCTGTGTCTAGGAATCTGAGGATCATGTCAAATCACTGGACTACTTGGTGGGCATGGCTCACAAAAGATTTTTAAAAAATTGTAATCAGTCAAGAGGTCGCCGAGTCAACTGGCTGATGCCAACGAAATGCCAGTTTGATGCCCACTAATACAGACTAAACGCAACCCCGTTACCCAGCAGGCCACTTCTTACTGATTTCATCACCTTGACGGCTTCACGTCTCGTAATATGCAAAGCTTCTAGGTGGGAGAAGCTCTGTCCTCCCCTAGGACATGTGTGGTGGTAAAGATCGGCAGCTGCGCCTTGCTCTGGAAGGGGACAGGCTGTTTATTCTTTCCCTACAAGATGCTGCTTCTACTCTGTTCTGTAACTGTAACAACTATTATCAGAGAAGCTTCAAAACAAGATAAACTTACAGACAGATAGAATAGGGGTAACTAGATCAGTATCCTATGAAAAACTTCTCTAAAGACAATAAGAATCCCACATTTTACTCGTCGTTAGAAAATACGCAGACAGCTTCTTAGGGTGACAGGTACAGGTGAAAATACAGATCACGGGGTTCTTGTAACCCCCTCGCCTACCAAAAACTCTAAATTTGTACCACAGCTCTTTCTGAAACTGTGCTGATAAATATTTTGATGTTACACCAAAGAAATGTAAATGATTTTTTGTTTTTCTGCGTCTATTCTAGGACAGGGAGGATGGTTGTGTGGGAAAAGCACTTGTCACAGCATGAGGTGAGGACCAGAGTTTGGACCACCAACATCCAGATAACTGGTTGCGCAGGCGTGGTGACCAGGGCAACCCAAGTGCAAGGTAGGCAGAGAAGTCAGCAAGCTGCACTAACCAAAGAAGAGAGCCCTGGGTTCCAGCGAGAGACCCTGCTTCACACATAAGGTGAAACATGACCAGAGAAGACGACATCAGCTTCTGGCCTCCACAAGCAAAGGCACCAAACAGTGCATGGGCACACTGCCACACGTGTGCTCTTGCTCACATACATGTGAATGTGTACTACACACACAGAAATACACAAAATTGCCTATTTCGAAACTGAGTTTCTCCTCTGGTATGATCTCATGTTGAATTCAATTAAATCGTTTTGTGAGAAATGAACTTTTAAAGTGTTAGCTAAAATGCTAACACTTCGGATCGTCCTGTGGTCAGCCGCCCCATTCTTGTGTGTAAACGGCATCTCTATGCACTGGACCATAGGGCGGGATTCCTGACTCCGGACAGTTGTGATAGGTTGGGAAACTGTTTGCCTTTAAAGCCATGCTTTAAACTCCAGTGAAGTGTTTATTCTCGGATCTTCGTCTTCCTCTGCTTGGCCACCTACACCTCATTCCTCAACCAAGGCAGTAAATGTCTAAAATTGGTGCTGGTTCTGGTAAACACGATGATGACATCAGCCTGTGTTCCAGCTCCAGAACAGTGACCACTCAGCCACTTGTGGCCAGTTAGGTCCCAGCAGCACTGCCTTGTCTGCACAGGCTCCCTGACAGTCACCATGGGGTTCTCAAAGGCTTGCTTTGTCACGATCAGGGATCAGGGGAGGGTGGAGGAAAAGAAGAACCACAGAGCTGTTTCAAGGGAGATCTAACATTAGGTCACACAGCAATATGACGTCCCTGACTTCACTGAACTGTACATATGCGATAAGTGGCATGCTAACTTTGTCAAAAGCTGCACGTGTGTGTGTGTGTGTGTGTGTGTGTGTGTGTGTGTGTGTGTGTGATGGGCAGCAATTGCCCACACCGCGGGGCTGCTGCTCTGTCATCTGTTAAGTCAGGTTGCCTGCATCCTAAGTAAGCATCCATTCTTTGCGAATTAGCAAACCGCCCTTAACCACAGAAGTTTCTAGCTGCAAGTGCCCCAGAAGAAAACCTCAAAAACACCATGTGAGAGTAAGGGATAGGGATCATGCGGAAGCACCGCTTCCTCTGACTGGTTCTTTGATGGACGGTGTGGGGAGCCAGGGACTGAGGCATCCTTACCCTCTGTCTCTGGGATCACATAGACTTGCCCTTAGTAGCACAACAAGACCCCAGTGATAGCTCGCCAAAGGGAGGGTGTTACTGGGCCGAGAGTCCTCCACTGCGGTGTACACACTGTCTACTGGCTTTCCAGAGGTAGAGGCGACTAAGCCTTGCCAGTCTTCTCCATAGACAAAAGCTAACTGAGGAAGGACCTTTAGCATCTGCGCCGGCGTTGCGGCTGAAGCCCTAAGAGGCTCTTGGGTACTGAACTTTCTTTTGCAGCAGAAAATCAAGTTCGGGATTAGAACTAAAACACCGGTCATTCGACTAAAGTTGTTAATCACATCCGTGTTCATAACGCAGGGGGCAAACGTCAGGCTTCACTGGCCCTGAGACGCCCCTATAGACCTCTGCGCCCAGGTTGTCCACACTTTCATGAGCGCCTGGAAGGTCCGGGCAGACTGGCACTTGCAAGCTCCACAAGCTGCTGAGACGCTCGGCTGGAGGCTGCAACCCGAAGCTGCAGGAGCAGCGGCCTGGCCAGCACTCGGGGTGCCACACACTTTCAAAAGTTTCCATTTAGCGCTCGTCGCTACTAACACCCCACCCTCACAACTACTTACCAATAGTGGAGACCAGCAGACAGACAGCACACACATGATTCCCATGAGTTGGATGGCGGTCTCGGTGGTAATCCGGCCCCACTGGGCGCTGGACTGCGAGGCGGCGGCTTTGGCCCGGCAGCGAGATACTAGGGCTTTGATGGTCGCCAGGTTGCAGGCAAAGGTGACTATCAGAGACAGCAGCCCCAGGCATGCAAAGGCGGAGGCGAAGGCCACGCTGCCCGGCTCGCGCGCAGGGTCGGTCTCGTTGCCCGCGGGCCCGGTGCTAATGAAGCACCACGTGCCGGGCCACTGCACGCTGTAGCGGCCCACCCCCAGCACCGGCAGCAGTGCGAAGGCGAGCACAGCCAGCCACACGCCTAGCAGCACCGCGCGCGTGGCGCGAGTCTTCATGTGGCTGGCGTACCAGTGCGGCGCGCGGATGGCCAGCGCACGCTCCACGGCCATGGCACTTGCCACCAGGAGCGAGGACAGCCCGAACACCGTCATGGCCAGCCCGAAGAAGGTGCATAAGCGCCCTGACGGATCGAGATGCTCCCAGCGCCGCTGAGACAGGTACACGAGGATGACCACCGGGCTAGTCAAGAGCTGCCCCACCATGTCGGTGAGCGCCAGCCATCCAATGCACAGCAGGAAAGACTTCTTGCGCTTGCTCTCGCGGCGCCGGTAGCTGCGCGACACTAGCAGCATGGCCAGCGCGTTTCCCACGAAGCCGGTGACCATCATGGTAATGGGGAAGGCCACGGACACCGAACCGCAGTCCTCCGCAGCGCTTGACAAGTTGCTGCGCGTTTCGGCGGAGCGACCCGGCGGCCACATGCCGGCCGGAGTAGCGGGGCCGCGGAAAGGCTCGCGGGGTGAGGGTCTCCCGGTTCAGGTGCGGGGAAGCGGCGCGCGCGGGGCGACGGCGCGGGCTCGGGCTCTGCTCTCCATCACCCGCCGCCGCCCGCGCCCGGCAGCGGGGTCTCTGCAGGCGCCGCCCGACGCTGCGCGAGGCTCCACCCGCGGCTGAGAGCCCGAGGGGCGGTGCCACGCGTGGGCAGTCTGAGGGCGGTGTCCGCCGGGATCACCTGGCGCAACGCCCCCTCGGCCACACTCACTAGCTCCGGGGCACTTCCCGTGTCCAACTCTATAAAGCGCTCAACCGGTTCCACGTCTGACACCGAAGAAAAGTAAGGGCGAACAATGCTGATTTCTTATCACGTTTGGCTGTCACTGAATTCTTTTTGTATTTGTTTTATTTAAGAAAAATAATACTTAACAATGAGACCCACAGCTGGAAAAGAATACGGATGACCTTGCGTTTTAAGTCCTCTTCATATTCATACTGCTTTATTTACTTTGAACCAATTCCAAATTCATATTGGGAAAGTATTTTTCTAGGATAATGTCAGTTTAAAAGTTTAACAACAGCTGATGTAAAAGCAAGCAAGCACATGGATGAGAGAGTACACACTAAATTCATGTTTCCAGCACCGAGTGAAATTCTAGTATGAAATTTTAAGAGCATTTCAGAATTCATTCATTCATCAAAGAAAATAATGCCATCCTATAGTTAAGTAAAAAATTTCTATTTATTAATAGAATCATAAATTAAACTATTAACTTGTAATATTAATTAAATATTAATATTTATATAATCTCCCGCTCTATCCCCTGTCCCACCGTGTGCGCTTGCGTGTGTGTGAGAGAGAGTGTGTGTGTGTGTGCGTGTGTGTGTGTGCGCGCGCGCGCGCGCGCGCGCGCGTGTGTGTATGTTTGCATGGAGGTCGGATTTCAACACTGTGACTCCTGGGGACTCTCTCCCCACACCCAAACACGGGTAATAGCACAGCAGCTAGGTTTTTCCTCAGGTTTTGGGAAATCCCAATTCAGGTCTTCATGTTTTCATGGCTGCCATCTCCCCAGGTCCCAAAGCTTACTGAACATGCCCACAGTGTCTCTTTTTCCTTAATTAAATTTCAGCAACCTTTCCTGTCACAGCATTTCCCATCCCTAGTTATCTACTTTTTAGCTGTTCACCTTGCAAATAAACAACTTTGAGTCTCTGATGGTTGGTTTCCTGTTGGCACTTTTTACTATCTGCAAGAGTTGGCTGAGTTCATCTGAAACAACACTCCCCTCTAGTGACTGAAAGGCTAACATGCACTCAAAAATTTTTAACCTTCATTGCTGTGGCTCTATAATAGAGCTTGATGTCAGGGATGGTGATGCCTCCGGAAGTTCCTTTATAGTAGAGGATTGTTTTGGCTACTCTGGGTTTTTCCATATGAAGTTGAGTATTGTTCTTTTGAGGTCTGTGAAGAATTGTGTTGGGATTTTGATGGGGATTGTATTGAACCTGTTGATTGCTTTTGATAGGATTACCGTTTTTACTATGTTGACGCTACCTATCCAAGGGTGTGGGAGATCTTTCTACTTTATGCTATCTTCCGTAATTTCTTTCTTCAAAGACTTAAATTTCTTGTCGTACAGGTCTTTCACTTTGTTGGTTAGTGTTACCCCAAGATATTTTATGTTATTTGTGGCTATTGTAAGTGGTGGTGTTTCTCTGAATTTTTCTCTGCCCTTTATCATTTACATATAGGATGGCTACTGATTTTTCTTTCTTTTTCTTCTTTGAGTTGATCTTGTATCCTTCATCCAGCAACTGATGAAAGCAGATACAGACATCTACAGTGAAGTACTGGGCTGAGCTACCAGAGACTAGTTAAAGAGAATGAGGAGCGATAATATGAGTGGAGGGAGGGGTCAACACCATGATGGGGATACCCACAGAAACAGCTGATCTGAGCTAGTGAGATCTCACTGACTCTGGACTGGTAGCAGGGGAACCTGCATAGGACCAAACTAGGCCCACTGAATGTGGAAGACAGTTAAGAGGCTTGGGTGGTCTGTGGTACCACTGGCAGTGAGACCAGGATTTATCCCTAGTGCTTGAACTGGCATCTAGGAGCCCATCCCTATGGAGAAATATCAGTCTAGATATGGGGGGGGGGCTTGGTCTTGCCTTGAAGTGAAGTGTCAGACTTTGTAGACTCCCCATGGGAAGCCTACCCTTTCTGAGGAGTGGATGGGGGAGGGGTGGGAGGAAGGGTGAGGTGAGGAGAGGGAGTGGGAATGGGGATAGCTATGTAAAATAAGAAAAGTGTATTAAAATTTTCTTAATAAAAAAAGAAAAGATTAACCTTGTGTAAGTATATGTGTATATGTGTTCATGTGTGTATGGATGCCCATGACTGTGGAGGCCCAGGGACAATCTGGGGTATCATTCCCAGCAATGTTGTTTGTAATGATATTTCATTTGTATTTTAATAAATAGAGTTTGCCTGAAGATCAGCCCTGCTGGTCAGCTTTACAGACCAGATAGTGGTGATACATATCTTTAATCTCAGTAGCCACACTAGTTTGCCATAGAAACCGGGCAGTAGTAGTGCACGCCTTTAATCCCAGTCCTACAGAGGAATATAAAATGGGAAGAGACAGTCTCATTCTGAGGATTCCTGGAGGCAGAATCATCATTTAGAACTGAGGTACAGGTTAAGAGCCAGCGACTGGCTATTTTGCTTTTCTGATTTTCAGGTTGAACCTCAATTTCTGTCTCTGGGTTTTTGTTAATCGTGCTACAGCTGTTCACTTTCTTTGAGGCTGGGTCTCTCATTGCCTGGAGCTCACCAATTGGGGTAGAATGACAGTGAACTTCAGGGGTTTTTGTCTCCCATTCCCTAGTGCTGGGTTTATAAATCCACACCACTAGACAGAGCATGTCCACATGGGCTTTGGGGATTGAGCTCAGCCTTGTACTTGAAAAGACACCATCCCCCTTTCCTCATTAAGGACAGTTTGCCAATGGTCACTATCTGCTTTTCTTAGGGAATCTGATTTCTTTTCTTTTATTTTTTTAACGATTTATTTAACTTTATTTTATGTGCATTGGTGTGAAGGTGTCAGATCTCATGGATCTGCATTTTCAGACAGTTGTGAGCTGCCATGTGGGTGCTGGGAATTGAACCCGGGTCCTCTGGAAGAGCAGTCAGTGCTCTTAACTGCTGAGCCATCTTTCTAGCCCCTGGTTTCTTTCTTAGAAATTTAGTCATTAGTAACAGTAATCATTGCCCTCACCCCGAGTTCACAAACTTGCATCTCTGATTTGCCAACAAACCAGTAGAGACTGAAATTAAAGGGCCGTGTTTTCATGTTTCAAAAAATTTCAAGCTTATATTCACATATCATCATATTTTAATATTTAATGTATATGAACTTACTTCATATTGAACTTCCATAGTAACACTAGCCTCAGAACTAGACCCATTGCCTTGTGGAGAACCTACAGTTAGTACTGAAGTGTATTTTTCATTCTTCGCCCATTTGGTGAGCACTCACTGGGCACCTGGTCTGTTAGATACTGTCTTAGTCTTAGAGATACCAACCAACACATTGAAGTTTCTACAGTTATCAATTTTAACATTAAACCCTTGATTTTCAAAAGACCCACGAAGGAAGGGAAGGATTCAGATTCCAGAGGCTTTTGTCTTTGTAGAGTGATTTGTTCTGGAAGTGGCATCCTATAACTTAGTGAAAATTATACATTGTAGTGACTCTGGATTGCACTTGCTTCCTCCTGTGGACACTTGGCTGTCCCACTGGGAATTCCTGTCCTGAGGTTCACACCTCTTTCTATCTCTTTCCTTCTCTCAGACCTGCTGTTATGGCTGTGTTCACTGCAGATGGACTTGCTCTGTGCTTCTGTAATTTGCTGGTCAGTGACGGGGACCACATTCTCTGGTTCTGATTCTAAGGGTACTTCTTTCAATCTCCTGCCATGTCCTGAATTGCCCATGGTGGGTAGACACTCCTTTAGAACCATCCATGCTGTAGACATAGTCACCAACTTAACCATGTCAGGTCTGGCTTGTGACTGCTCAGTACTTGTGTTTCTTCTTCATGGGGTCTCTGCTCTTTGGACAAAGTAGAGCTGTGAAACATGGATCAGTGTGGGTTCTTTTGCATCTCTTCTGTGGGCCCAATTGTGAGAATCTCTTGTTAAATCTGTGACTTCAGTCCCGGCACCTTTCACCTGTAAGGCTGTGTCTTCCTCGAGGGTCCCTGCTGTCCAGAGTGTTCTCATGAAGGCCGAGCAGCAGCCTCGTCCCTGCTGTCCAGAGTGTTCTCATGAAGGCTGAGCAGCAGCCTCGTCCCTGCTGTCCAGAGTGTTCTCATGAAGGTTGAGCAGCAGTCTCATTCTAATAACAGTTCTCAGTCCCAGGCTTCCCTTTTTCTTTTAAAATTAACCCCATTTTGTCTTGAATAAAATTTAATTTAAATATTTTTGATATTTAAAAACTAACATTTATTGGCATCTTCAAGGCAGTGTGATATTGGCATACAGAGACATTGCTCTTGTTAAAGTGACAAAACGTCTTATGATGGTTTCAGAAGTAAAGCATATATGTATATGTATATGTTTATCCTTGAGCATACACTAATCTATCCTAAGTACATGGAAGGAACTAAGGTAGATATAAAAGTGAGTGAACGTTCTACAACTATACAAATGAAATAGATATGAGTATGAACTCTTTATTACATATACACACACCACAGTAATTCAATGTTTTTTGTCACAGGTGTTAAAAAGAACAGTCTCCAACAAATGCTATTATGAAGTTGATTATAATACTGCACAATTGCAGTCTCAGCACTGGTGAGGCTGAAGCAGGGGAATTTCCATGAGTTTGAGGACTCTGGTGAAGGCCATGTGACAAGATCATGTCTGAGATAACAAACCCCTGGATCAAAACAGATTATTTGCGTAGAAATAAAAAAATAAATGAGGCTTCCTACACATAGAATGAATAAAGATTTAAATGCATGTTTGAGGGCTGGAGAGATGGCTCAATGGTTAAGAGCACTGGTTGCTCTTCCAGAGGTCCTGAGTTCAATTC